GCGTAAGCGTTCTTGCAGAACGTCCGAAACACAGTCGCAATAGTACCCTATCCAAACTCGTTATGACTTAGCACGAGAACTTCAGACTGACTAGTGACAGAAAAGCGCTCGGGAAACGCAATTTTATCTGATTCAAAGTGTTAAGTAGTAGCGCGGCTTCTCGCTGTAACTACCGTCACGCGCATCGATTCCCAGATTCTAATTTAGCCGTAATCTAAAATGTAATGTAATAGCTACAGAGACAAATGACGAAGACAACGAATAAGGGTAGTTCGATCGCCCTCTGAGCGGCGAAAAAAGAAAGCATTGTCGTCGTTGTATCAGACAGCGAATTGATCCGCGCGGTGCCAGTGATAAAGAGGCGCTGGGAAGACAAAAGGAAAACCACCCCTTCTTCCTCGGTATCCTCGCTGAGTCGCGAAAAGCCAAACGGCAGAACGAAATCGGCGCCGTGGTCAGAGGGCATCGAAAATAGCGGCGTCAACGGACGCGATCCCCACCCCCGTCCGCCGCCGCAGACACTGAGGTGTTTCAAATTAATAGCGCTGAGTGTGACATGTTCGTTGCGCGAGAGGCGTGTCGGGCGACGAATGTGTCGAGATGGCACGTCAGATAGTCCTCGGCGGCCGTCGGATGGTGTCGGCGAACGCACACGGAGCGACCGCACGCCGATGACTGTGCTGCTTCGGAGCGACAGCTTTGCGGTTACTGGAGCTCCGTGACCGTGACCTTATTTTGGTAACTGTTTTACGTACGACATCGGTCATGTTTGGCGTATTGTAGAGGTCAGTGAAATGAGATAACATCTATTACACATTTCTTCGTGACTATAGGTATAGCGTAACACTAATACTGGAAAAGTGAGAGTATACAAAACAAGCGCTTGTGCCTGAATATTGTGTATTCTTCTCTCGTGTTTGGCGCTATCATATCATCAACGTGGAACCGTGCAAACTTCTTAAACCGTCTACACTTCTACATGTACACATTAATCAGATATTGAGACATGTGCCATGGTTCCTCCCTTCGATAACGTCGGAAAAGGAGACGGGTGAGTGACGGACTACTGCACCTTAAATATTGTGTGCCCTTTATGAAAAAAAGAAACGAGAGAGTATTCTTCGCGAGAATCATAGAAAGGGGACTGAATAGACGAGAAAAAGCGATTCTTTTTCAACGCATCCTTTCCCCATGCGTATTTAGATTGAAGAGTGTCTGTGACGCATGTTTTCAGCGTATGTATTGCACATGCATGGCCTGGATGTGTTCTGTGTATTCGGTATCGTAAGCGTCGGGCAGATGAGGATTTAGGTGATGTATTGCAGCTGTACAGTGACGCGTTTTCATAAATTTGCTTTCAAATTCTACGTGTACATATCTGCTTTTTTACACCCCGTACAAATGCATACTTGTAGTGCGAAATAGTGAAGCTAAATATAAATACACGTGTTTATCTTCTGAGGCCCCCTGGACTGGTATGAAAGAGATAAGATCTGATGTATTACAATACCACCCCCCCCTTTTTATTGTTATTTATATTCTGTGAATTCGCGCTGTTTAAAGCGGGGTACCTGCGCTTTAAAGTGGTCATTTATCTACGGAGGGCGGTAATATATGACATCATGCTATAAAGAGAAATCGGAGGTGTAAATATACCACTTGATAATGTAGGGGCAATGTTCGCATAGGAAGTTTACCACCAAATCTATCTTTTCGCAGCCTGGGCACACCTACTGCAATTACGCTGAGCCTACGTGGGTGTGCTCGACCCATTTATTGTATTCAAGCAACGATGTCTTGCGAAACTGAGTTGCAACGCATTAATTTTCCTTCAGGCTTCGCAATGTATCTCTTCCTTTAATGTGTGTGCGCTATCACAGAGACGTGGACTGTTCTGATATGGTGTAATGCTGCATGATGGTGACGGGCGCGTGTGGAGGTGGTAGCGTCACAGCCATAATACTGAAATTGTGGCTCTTATAATTACAGTCTCCTGCTGCATTAAGACAGCATAACGAGCGTGACGCAATAAAGCAATGTGCGATTAGTCTACGTGAGACAGTTAAAGAGTCCCGGAGCTGTATCTTTCTCGCGTTGCAGGAAAGTCTGAACTTGTTTTGATAACTTCAAAACTTTTTTTTTACATTAAACCAGTATAGATTCGCTAATGATATGCCTACCATCAGGATCTGATTGTTTGCATATCATTAGCGAAGCTATACTGGTATACTATATAGCGAAGCTATATTGGCTGAAATTCCCTCTCACAAAATATAATAGCATGAGTCACTTTTAGTAACACAGGCATGTAAGGGTGTACCATGTAAGGGCGTGTCACTTAGCCAGCCATCAAATTTTCCAGCTTTAATCCTTAAATGAAAAAAATTAAAACAGCAAAGATATTCTAGTGATGTTTTACTTCTGCATCAATTTTTTTTAGACGTCAACCACCGGCTTGTAGAAGTTCGAACGCCAAATCTAAAAGAATACATACAGACCCACAACAGAAGCACTTGCTTTTGTTTCAGGGGGTAATGTTGCTCCAAATTCAAACAAAACTTATTACTGGTTTTTATATTGTTACGCTACAACGGAAATAAAAGAGCATGCCAGCAGAACTCTCACTGACACACTTTTACGTTCAAATCCATCCGTAGCCCCGCCGTGGTTGTCTAGTAGCTAAGGCGCTCGGCTGCTGACCCGCAGGTCGCGGGATCGCATCCCGGCTGCGGAGGCTGCAATTTTAAATCCCGGCTGCGGAAACTGCTGTCAGCACGTCTGCTCAGATTTGAGTTGCACGATAAAGAACCCCAGGTGGTCCAAATTTCCGGAGCCTTCCACTACGCCGTCTCTCATAATCATATCGTGGTTTTTGGACGTTAAACTCTCCATATTATAACTAAATCCACTCGTACTAATACTCTCCTTGTCGACTGTGCTGTGCAATAGAAAGAAACACACTTACACGGGGCATTTAAAGCTTATGCACATTAAACCACATTCCTCACTCTCCTAAATACTGATGAGCTCACGATCAGTTTTCGATCATATATGCGGACAAATTTCTATGTAGTGTGGACACAATTCTGTGTGGTGTGGACACTCAGTGTTGAAAAACGTGAACTCATTGTGTTAGTGTTGTGCTATGTACATATGTATAGCCTTGTGTTTGCTATAAAATGTGTGATGTCGACTTTTGTTCAAGAGAAGAGGAGTAGCCGGCGCCACGCGTTGGCACCAACCTTTCCTTATATACATTTAATTAAAAAAAGTGTCAAGCACGTAAATGTTTGAAGCGTCCTCTTTCGAATTTTATATGTCAAGTTACTGTCTCATTCTACAGAATGATACAGCGAAAAGCCCAACATATGACTATCTTTCACGATTAATTCGTTAACTGGACTTGCGCTATAAGGTGTGTCAGCAGAGATATACATGGCGAAGTAAGTCCAGTATATCTCTGCTGACACACCTTACAGCGCACGACTCCACGCCATGCACTTCGCACTAAGTTCTCATTGGCGTCAAACCAACAGTTGCAGTAGAAAGTGCCGTTTGTGTTTGTGTATGCGTTTGCGAGACTCACTGGAGGGGTGTGTCTCTTCGGTGCGCTTATCTGCGCGCAGACCGGTTTCAGAGCGATGAACTCGTCCACGCTTGAGAGCAGCTGGGGCGCCATTACGAATGAAGGAGTTGACGCGCGCGCCGCACATGGCGCAACGCTCTAATTATTTTCAGCCCATTTGCGCCAGCAACTTCGCAAAACTAACTCCGCTAACCCATGCAAACGTGCAAAATGAGCGTCCCTCGCGGTAAGCTGAAGCTCAAGATTAAGACCTCCGGTGACGAAGCGGCCTGTGGTAGAATGCTGGCAACACCGTAACACATTTTCTGTGGCTTTTTCTTTTAAGGAAATGCTAGCGTACGTGCAGGTATAAGGTCCGAACTTACTTTTCTAATAGGTATATTGTTACTTTGCCTCTCTTTATATTTAAAACATCAGCAGCAAAGTTGAACCTACAGTCACAGCTGGCCAAAGAAAGATAGCACTTGGTGAATTAACCTATAAGTAGCTGCATGTCTCACTGAAACGTGTTCACTTGGTGAAAATTCTGCAAGAAGGCCGATTGAATATACAAAAACACGTTATCCCGAATCATGTTGATTCATTTAAAGAATTTTACATTTTCTCTTCTTTTATTGTTTCACTTACTGCCATATTTGTAGTTTTTAGGTATTGCAAAAAAAACTGCAAGTGAGTGCCAGCGAAGTCTCAAGTCTCTTTGCACCTAAAGTGTTAGTATTATGCAAGCATATGAAAAAAAAATATCTCGAAGAGTGTCAAAAAATCGTCAGCGCAAAAAAAAAAAAAAAAACAGGTGTACGACCACGTCACGTTCACAAGTGACGTACGCATCATCTTTTCAACACTTTTGCTTCAGTAACGCACCGCCAACTGATTTTGAGGAAATTCTAAAGAATGCGAGAAGATATAATTCGGTTGCGACCTCGAGTAAACGAAGTCTGTCATATGCTCTATTTGGTTATTTTAACACTCACTCTCTCATTCACTCCCTCACTCCCCCTCTCCCTCACTCACTCACTCACTCACTCACTCACTCACTCAATGAATGAATGATAGAGTGAATGAATGAATTAATCATTCAATCCATCAATGAATAAATCAATCAATCAATCAATCAATCACAGCGCAACGCTCTTTAGGCAAAGACTATCCATTTGATGCGAATGTCTAGTGGCTATGTTGCTTGACTGCTGACCCGATAGTCGTGGGATCAAATTACGGCCTGTGGCCGCCGCATTGCTTGGTCGCCATGCGCTTAGATCTTTTTTTTTGTTGTTGTTGTTAAGAACCCCAAGTGATCGAATTTTCCCGAGTCCTTGAGTCCTTCACAACAGCGTTTCTCATATATTGTGCTTTTTAAACATAAAACCCCAACAATTATTACAAACGTCTCACACAGCGTCTTCGCGTGCAGGTGTCTTGGATACGCCGCCGCGACTTCCATGTCCTCACGGTGGGCCTGACGACGTACACGGCTGACGACCGGTTCCAGTCTGTGCACATGGATCGCTCCGAAGACTGGATGCTGCAGATCAAGCGTGTGCAGCCCACCGACGCCGGGGATTACGAGTGCCAGATCAACATGCACCCGCTCATCTCCTACTTTGTACGACTGGCCGTCTTGGGTGCGTAGGCATGCAAACGAACCTTCAATAGCGGGAGAAAATTATTTGTACATGAAATTTTCGTACAAAAGTGCAAGGGCGCCTTTCTTTTCTCCGATGTTTTTATATTTTTTGGCAATGCGAAAGTAGTTATAAATTGATTATCGCAGACATCAACTTTGCCTTTTCTCTTGCTTTTGTTTTTGTTTTATGAATAATTAACATTGCAGGCATTGTCCCGATATCGATATTATTGTTGTGTTCTTACTGGCTTGCTGTGAAGAGGGTGACATTTACTTTACGTTGGAAGCTCTGCTTCTATAAAGTAAGCAGCGAAAAAAGAAAAAAGAACAGTGTTTACCCAGAGTAAATAATGAGCAACTAAAGAAAAATTTTGTTGCAAACTGATTGGTTGATATGTGAAATTTAACGTCCGAAAACCACCATATGACTATGAAAGACGTCGTAGTGGAGGGCTCAGGAAATTTCTACCACCTGGGATTCTTTAACATGCACCCAAGTTTGAGCACATAGGCCTACAGCATTCTCGCCTCTATCAAAAATTATTCTGAGCTGAAACTAGATTAAAAAAATAACATGATAACGCAGAATTTGTCCTCAGGACCACATATTGATATTCAGGCGTCCATTCGAAAACAGTTTTAGTCTTGCACGCAGTATATGGACTAACACATCGTTCCGTATAGCAACACATAACTTTGTCAGTAGGGTTAGTGCTCGAAAGCCGAAATGATCTGTCTTCGCACAGAAAATCAGTGGAAGCCTAATTAAGTTTTTTTTTTGCGTGGTACTGGCATATTGAATAGGCGATAGCACCTTCACTTTCTTTTTTTCTTTTTCGCGCGCCTATTTTGCTCTCCGTTTTCTTTCTCATCTTTCTTCCTCATTCCCCTTTACTTTAGTGCATTCCACTTTCCCTTAGTGCATTCCCCCTTCCCTTAGTGCAGGGTAGCAAACCGGATGCCCTTACTTCTGGTCAACCTGCCCCCTTTCCCTCATATTATTCTCTCTCTCTTTTTCGTCCCAAGCACTTGTCTAGTCCAGCATTGCAGATAGATCTTTAGGCAGATGTAGATAGTAAAGAGAGAAAGACATCACCTAACACATCAGACCCGCAGTCTTTTATAGTCCTCAGCTCTGGCGAGGTACTCGACATCACTGTCACATCTGCTTGTCTAATCTCTCCCATTATTTTCTCATGCGTAGGGTAGCAAACTGCTTGTCCAAACTTGGTTACCTCCCTGTCTTTCCTTCTCGGCTATTTCTTTTGAGCAAAATGTTTACTTTTGCTTAAGGTGCTTTAAAGGCCACAGTCCGGTAGTGAAGCGTCTGTGCAAACTTGCTTGTTTCTTCCCAGAATTTAGTTATGCTTTCTTTGCGTAATTTGCGCACTCTAAATTATATGCCCATCCTCTTTTTCATCACCACAGTAGCATTTCGGAGAGTTGGATGTCAGCACATTCTCGAAAAAAAAAACAGTTTTTATACACTACTTACAGTCGAAGTTTACTGTCATCACTAAAATGTCCTCAGTAATACCAAAGTATGGCTTGAGTACCCCCCTTCAATATCACTTTATTAGCTTGTAGCGAAATTTCTACTGTGCAACACAACTTATCGATACAGGCAAAAGCCACCGATATCTGCGGTACCCAACATTTTTTGTCTGTTAATTTATTACGTGATTTATTATTCGGAAAATGCGCCACTACAGAAGCGGCTCTTCCAACCACGAAAAAGAAACACTAAAGACTTATTCACGCCGGCTTGTTCACACCGAAGGCGAATCAGCCGTAGCTGGCGACTGGGAGGCGTCGGAAACCTCCTCGCCAGACGGCTGCGGTGAAGCGGCTACTCCGATCGTTCGGGGAGCAACTTATTTACGCCCACCGAAGCTGTCCGCTTTGCCGTAGTCAATCAAAACGCCATGCAGCGGTGTCGCTGCTGTATCTTTGGGAGAAGCAGTGACAAGTGTGCAAAAGCGCCATATACCGCACCTCCGAGAGAGCCGTACGGTCTAAATAGGTACGCTCACTTTCACCTTCACTCGCAGCCTTAAATTAGGATTTAGGAGCCTATGAATTCAGCACGAAATTTGAATTCTATGCCTACAATACGTTTTCCACAATATGTACCGCCCACAGTTCTTTCTAGTTTTCATTTTTGTTGTGTTTTATTTTTTCGCTTACTTTCAGTGTTTTCACTTTTGTCCAGTAAAGAATAGCCTGCAGGAATGTTATTATAGTGCACCACAATGCCTCTTATCTTTATTTGCATTCCAGTCCAGCTTTGTATCCACTAGCAGATTACCTTTAGGTAGAGTTATTGCATAATAGTTAATGACATTTGGCTGGGCTTACGTTGGAAAAAATTCATCATCCTTAGCATCATCATCAGCCTTACTACGCTCATTGCAGGGCAAAGGCCTCTCCCATGATTCACCAATCAACCCGGGCTTGTGCTTTCGGCTGCCACGTTATACCTGCGATATTTTTAATCTCATCGGACCACCTAACTTCTTGTCTCCCCTTCGTATGTTTGCCTGCTCTGGGAATCCAGTCAGTTACGCTTAATGACCAGCGGCTCTCCTGCCTACATGCTGCGTCCCCACCCCATGTCCATTTGTTCTCCTTGATTTCAACTATAATATTCTTAACACCAGTTCGTTCCCTGACCCACTCCGCTGTCTTCTTGTCTCTTGAGGTTACACCTATCATTTTCCTATCCATCGCTCGCTGAGTCGTCCTCAATTTAAGCTGAGCCATTTTTGTTAGCCTTCAAGTTTTCGCTGCATAGGTAAGTACTGGCAGATGCAGCTGTAATGTACCTTCCTCTTGAGTGTTAGTAGCAGATTAGCCATTCATAATTTGAGAATGTTTGCCAAATGTGATCCACCCCATCTTATTTTTCTAGTTAGTTCACTTTCATGGTTTGGCTCCGCGGTTGCTACCTGTTTTAAGTAGACATATTTCTTTACTACTTCCAGGGTCTCCCCACTTATCGCAAAGTGCAGTTTTCTGCCGATACTGTTGCACATCACTTTATTTCTGTGCATATTGATTTTCAGGTCTACTTTTCTGCTTTTCGTGTCCGGTTCAGCAATCATGAGCTCTAATTTGTCTTCTGAGTTACTCATCAAGGCAATGTCATGAGCGAATCACAAGTTACTAAGGTACTCTCGATTAACTCTTATCCTCAACTCTTCCCAATCTAGGGCCCAGAAAACCTGCTTTAAACACGCGGTGAATACCACTGGAGAGATCGTGTTTCCCTGACTTGCACCCTTCTTTATTAGAATTCTGTCACTTTCTTTATGGAGAATTATGGTGGCTGTGGATCCACTGCAGATTTATTCCCGTTTGTTTATATAGGGCTAGTCGATATCCTGATTCCACATTGCCTGCATTACTTCTGATGTCTCGACTGAGTCAAACGCTTTATCGTAATCTATGAAAGCTATGTATAGGAGTTGGTTAAATCCGCGCAGTTCTCTATTTCCTGATTGATAGTATGAATATGGTCTTTTGTGGATTAGGCTGCACAAAATTCTGCTTAGTCATTTGGTTTATTGATCTTATAAATCGCCATGGTTTCGTTAGCTATTATTTTTGCCAATAGGTTGTATAGAACAGCCAGTACCTTACTCAGCCTGTAATTTTCAAGTCCCTGACGTCTCGTTTCTTATGAATTAAAAGGATGTTGGCGTTATTCCAAGATTCTGGTATCCTTCCCGTCATGAAACTCTTCGTGTATAAAGTGGCCAGTTTTTCTAACGCAATTTCTCCACCATCTTTTAGAAGGTTTGTTGTCACCTTATCCTCGCCAACGGCTTTGCCTCTTTCCCAGTCGTTACTGTCGTTATTTTCCCTGTCATTACTGCTAGGATGTCGAATTCCTCTGTGGTAATATTGATTCTTACGATATAATCCTGGTAGTTTCGGCTTCTGTATTTCTGTAGAGTTTTTCCCGCTACCTCAGCTGTACCATCCATATTGATTATGACTTTGCCTTCCTTGTATCTTAATGCATACATCCGATTTTTGCCTATGCACAAGCTTGCCTTCGCAGGTTTTAGGCTTCTGACTAAAATAATTGATATAAAAGTTTTAACACCATTCGCATGTTAAAAAGAACACACTAGCACTACCAACCACCAGCCAGGCATAAATATATATGTATGCTGCACAACAGCTAAGAAAGCCTAATCGAAATGCTACCGCAAAAAGCACGCTTTGAAAGCGAATGCATTGATTTTATCCCAACTATAAATCCTGTCTAGGCTTCAGTTTGATGAATAAATAAACCATTGCCTCCAAATTGATAATGGGTAGATTCGTAAACTTTGGAACCTAATATGTATTATTTGCATACGCTACAAGGGGATTCGAAGCAGTGCAAGATGAGAAAAATAAATGATAAAAAATAAAAAAAACATCGGAGTTTCAATAGAGCTGTTCTCGCTTACTACGCCTTGCTTATTTGCATTGCCGGAGACCGGCTTCAGTCGACACTTCTACTGTTTGTAGCCCTGTACACTCTTTAGTGCGAGAATGCACAAAGCAGGGATATTGTACCGCGATAAGAATGGGATCCATTAGAACACTCTCTCAAATGCTAAAAGTTCAGAAGATGTGCCACCCGCTTTGCTTCTCCACTAATGCTGGTGAAGAAAGCGATAAGTACTGCGTTTGTCCCATTTCTAGACTTCCGCGCTTTCCGTTTGAACTTGAGCTGTCCATTATTCGTTTGGAGCGTGTGCTCGCGTCTGGATCTCGTTTACGTTTTGAAGTGCCTAATGACACCTTCAGAGCTCTACTTGATACTTTTCATGGGCGAAGGCCTTTTTTTGTTTTTTTTTTGGCTGTTTGTTTTACCATGACGTGTACCAAGGCGCCTAAAACCAAGCAGCACGCCTAAAGAAGGAAGTGTGCGACAGCGTAGAATTCGAGTCAGCTGCACAATCACTCACCCCGGATTCTCCATTGTAAAGAAACGCCCTG